CGATGGCAATAGTGGCACGACCCCAAAATAGCAAAATAATGGCCATTACACCGTTATCCGATCGCTATTTGAATCTTTGCTTGAAACCCACTATCACTAGAACATTCCAAACTCCAACACCACCATCAATAGCCTAAACCACCCCATCAACCAACAGCTCAAAAAAAAAATTTCATAAACTCATTAACCATACCTTTACCCTTTGATGCCTTTAGCAACCACTTAACATCATTATCATCCGCACCATAAAAAAATGTACAAAAAGAAAAACACCACTAAAAAAAGAAACCCAACCTCAAACTTATCACAACAAAATACCAAACAAAAAATAAAAAAAAAACCAAAAAAAAAATCAACCATATCCCCTAGATTAAGGAAGAAGTAGTGCCAAGCAACCTTATAGAAAAAAGGTTAGATTTGATAAAAAAAATTTTTTTTTAAAAAAAGCAATATAGGTTATGAAAGAGAAGTCGATGGTGACAACAAAAAAGGGGATTGACGGCTAAAGATGCTTTTGGCTGGGATCATCAAAAAAGAAAGGAAGTAATGGCGGTGCAGAGAGAAAAAAGAGAAAAGAAAAAAGAATAAGGAAAATGAGAAAGAAAAAGAAAAAAAAAAAAAAGAAGCTCTAACGGTTGGGATATCAAATGGTGGTCGACGGAGGTGATTGGTCGATTTCTGATTGATCGGCACTTTTGGCCTTTAAGAGCCTTTGAAATTTTTTTTTAAAAAAAAGGTTTAAAATGAAATGAAAGAAAAAACTAGTTTTTTATAATTAAAAAAAAAAACTGACATGTGCATAGATCAAACCAGACCCAAGGTTCGCATGCTTGACCTAATTTTCAGCCTCTATCACAACCTTAAACTGGTCCAATTGAACCATTTCTAAATCGATCTGAACTATTTTGACTTTTCTTAAACCATCTACTGAACCAAAAAACCAAACAGAACCTGTCTGAACTGGAAGTGAATCACTTTAAATTGTTAACTAATTTTGACCACTCTTTTGGTTAATTTTATTATTTATTTAGTTATTTATTTATTTTTTTCTTGCTAAGTTATTTATGTGTTTATTTATGCACATTCAAATCTTTTTAAAAAAATATATATAATTAAAAAAAGGCTAAAAAAATATTTTTAAAGCAAAAATAAAATTTTTTGATGATGGAACTCCAAGAAGTTCGAATGGTGATTCCAAAAAAATTTTTAAGTGAAAAAAGACTTCTAAAAATTATCAAAGTATTTAAATATTTAAAAACTCTTTTTAATATAAAGTTTTCTTCTTTAATTTGAATAATTTTTTTATAAAAAAGATATTAAATATATATAAAATATTTATAAAAGTGTGCATTTTTTAGGAAATAAAGTTTTTCATAGATAATTATATTATTGTATAACTTTTAAATATTAATAATCATTAAAAAATGAAAAAAATAAAATTTCTTAAGATGAGATTTTAAAAAAATCTGAGTAATGATTCTTTAGGAATATATAAATAAGAAATTTTTTTCTAAAAATACTATCAAAGTAATGAGCTATTGAGAGTAATTTTCAATAAATACTTTCATTACCTTTAATAAAGAAATAAGAACTAAATATTTATGAAAAAGCATTATACGGATTAAATTATAAGTATTTTGTTGTTATATGCATTTCAAATATTGGTTTTGAAGATAAATACAAACCACCGAGAATGAAATATTTGAAAAGTCTGAATAGTAATCCTCGAGAATTTCCTTAGGTGAAAAATTTTTTTTTAATGTTACTAACGTATTTTGATATTTTAATATTTCTTTCAAAAATAAAGTACTAGTATTTTTCTCGAATAAAATAAAATGTTAAAAAAATAAAATTACTACAATAAAAAAATTAAGAAAATTAATTTTAAATATCAAAATTAAGATCATTTTAGTCAAAATTAAAGGATAATATATAATTAATTGATATCATTTTAAACGGATATTGTAGGAGTGTTGATCCTTCCGCACGCGTAACTGACTTCTAAATTCTAACTATTTTTGCAAATCCAAAAAAATTATCTTTTTAATAGATGTTAATTAATTTTAAAATTTTATTAAAATGATAAGTTTTAATAAATGACTATTCACACTTAATAAAAAAAGCTTGATAATGAGTTTCTTTTGATTTTATTATTATAAACATTGCCACTTATAAATTTTGGATGTTTGAAATAAGATTGGTGACGTTTGTAATAATAATAATAATAATAATAATAAATCTTATTATTATCATTTTAACAGCTATTCTTTCATATCCAAAAATTTTATACCTCTAGTTTAAACAGACAGCGGTAAAGAGCAGGCCAGCCACCTAGTATTGATAATTACAAACATCCAAAATTTATAAGTGGCAATGTCAATTCTTTCTCTTTGTTTTTTTTTTTTCTTGGCAAATCTTCTTGTTAATTTTACATTTAATAAAGTTGTTTACATCTCAAAATTGTTACTTATATGTATCATGGTTGGAGTTGTTGCTTCAATTTTTAACCTTAAAAATGATGATTAAACTCAAAACTCAAAAGCCTTGAGAATTGTTTGCAGTCATGATTTTTTAATTTCAATCAAATTAAAAAAAAAAAACCTTTATAATATATTTTATATAGAGAGAGAGAGAGAGAGAGAAAGAGAGATAGCAAGTTTGTGAAACACAAAGATAGCAAAATTAAAAGCGTGGACAATAGGCAAGGAAGAAAACATCAAGGGGAATCAAGAGCCTTTTATACGTGAAATCAATCAATTTACAATAAACCCTTCAATGCCAACAGAAAAAACAAAAATATCGTCGATTTATCTATTTGATTTTTTTTTTCTAAAGAAAAAAAAGAGATACACAAAATTTGATACAAAACTAAGAATCAAGCTTTTAAAATTCAAATGGAGATTAATTGAAGAGAAATTTTGAAGCTAAATTCTGGTTCTATAATAAACCTTGTTGCATTTTCAGTCACTTGCTGTCCAAAAAACTCTTCGACAATTAAGTTAATAATGAATTAAAAAAAAAAAAAAACATGCGTACTTCGTCTATATCTAAATGGGTATAATTTACTCGTAATTATAATCATAATATTTTTTTTTCTAGTAATTAATTCAATCCCCCATTGGAAATGAGAGATTGACAGTTTACCACATTCACATGGCCATGGACCCTGGTGTACATTTTTGAAATCAACACAATAAGAATATAGGATTCAAGGACAATAAAAAAGGAAAAGGCACCCCACCCCTCTCTTCACCACTCACCGGCTTAGGGCTCATTAGGAAGTCACTGGATCTCGGGTGAGCTGCGATTCCTTTGCTTTTTACCGCTAGTCGCACCTTTGATATCGGTTGGATAAAAAGACATCGGTTTCGTTTGAGCTATTGAATTGCACTGAAAAGCTAGTTGTGGACTGCGGCTTAAGGTACAATGGATTACTATGTTTCGACCGAAACCTTTTACCCCAAATAATTTTTTATTCGTATATTGCCTTTAAATGAATTTTTAATAGCTAAAAAACCATTTTGTTTTAATCTAAAATATTGGTTCATTATTTTTTGTTTTAATATATTATTTTAACTTAAAATAATATTTCACTATTTATTAAGTAAAACTTTAGGATTTTGGTAAAAAAAAAAAAACCTTTAAGATTTTAAATGTTAAATAACATTATCATATACATAAAAATAATTTTCAAATATTTAATAACAAAAATATTATTTGATATAAAATACTTCTAATAATTTTTAAGCATTTATTGATTTAAGTAATATTTTTAAGATTTTAAATGTTAAATAACATTATCATATACATAAAAATAATTTTCAAATATTTAATAACAAAAATATTATTTGATATAAAATACTTCTAATAATTTTTAAGCATTTATTGATTTAAGTAATATTAAATATATACTATAAATTCTATTATACACAAGTTTTAATAAAACTAGAAATGGACTCGTGTTCGTACACAATAATGTTGATTTTAGATTTAATGAATGAAAAAATTAAGTATATCTTTTATATTTTTAATAGGAGTTACCATTATAACAATAGAAAAAATATAAAAAGTTAATTAAAAATAATTACAAATAATAATGTTCTTAATGGTAAGTGCAATTTTATATAATATAAATATAAAAATTTCATCCTCTATTAGATCGATATGGATAAAAATCCATCATATATGGGATTATTTTGGTATCTTCTTCAATCGGTACTTTTTATTATAAATTTATTTAATTAAAAAATACAAAAAATAGAAAAAAATAAAATAAGATGCCTCGTGAACACTCCAATTATTTTTTTTAACAAAATTAACTTAATTAAAAAGACGTGAAATCAAAAGGAAAAAATGAATAAAACGAATAAAAGAAAAAGAAAAAAAAAGCTCAATCATGAGCTTAAAATGTTAATCTCTTAAATTAAAATATCAAATAATAATTTTATTAAAAAAATCATAAAAATAAACAATAAATAATATATATATATATATATATATATTAGGATGCTCATGTGAACATCCAAATTAAATTTAAAATATTAATATCTTATATTAAAACATCAAATAATAACATTATTAATGTAATACATATATATAAAAATATAAAATTAAATAATTAATAAAATATATATTTTCATATATATCACAAAATTACTTAAACAAAACACCTTAAAATCCATTTTAAGCCCATCTCCACTTTCTTTAAAAAGTAAATCCAACTCAAGTGAGATTGACTTTTTACAAAATCGCTCATATCAAATCGGAACGAATTAAAATATATTAGATATCAATTATTTTATCATTCACATCATCTTGCTCATTTTGCTGTGAAAATTTTATAATTAAAATATCCAAAAGAAATCAAAAACAAAAAGTATGAAAGGAAAAAATAAATGAAAGTGCTCTGTTAACACTTCATTTTATATTTTTTTATAAAATTAATTTAATTAAAAAATGAAAAAGTAAAAAGAAATTTAAAAATTTAAAAAACAGCTCGCAAAGTTGCCACATAGACATCAGATTGCTCTTAAAATCTTGCAACTTTTAATGCAAGTATAGTGAGAGAGAGTGGATTTAATATACGGATGAATGTGCAAGATTTATAGTAAAAAATTTTTAAAGAAAAAAATCAAAATAAAATCCCCCGTGGACACTTTCACTGCCCCTCCCCAACTATACAAAAAAAAAAACAAGCGGAAACTCCATAGTATGAAAACGACCGTTATCACCACAAGGGAGTGTATCTCAGATTGTGTCGGATTGATTATGAAATTTACCAACTACTCAATTGTTTCTGGATTTTAGAATTATTAGAAGATTTACCCCCTTTGTCTTTGTAAGAATTTCTGGACGCAATATTCTTCCGTCCTTTACGTGCTGCAGCCATTGCACGTCGTCTCTGCTTGGCCAAGCTCTTCATGAGTTCAGCATCATTTTCATCAGCGTTCTGATTGTCTTCCTCCTGGAAGAACAAAACTAGCATTAGGAATCTGCTTAACATCAAATAATGAGGGTATTTAACAAAGAACTTTTTTTCAACAGACCAATTTGGTTAGTCAAAGAAGCTAACAAAAGGATGGAGCAGCAGTAGCAGAAATGATTTTCGTTGTTTTGAAAAATTAAAACGATGTTGAAACATCAAGGAAACTTTGTTTGATTAAAAAAAAAAAAAAGCATAGCATAAAGTAATACAATAGTAATATTTTAGCCTGTCTAGCAAATAATTTAAACATCAAGGGTCAAGGCCACCTGCTCACTGAAAGCCTAAGACCTTATACATGCTTCTTTCAGGAAGGTCCTTGAGTTATTATCAAAAGTCCATAACGAACTAGGATATGTACTATCCTATACAAAAAGAAAAAGCAAGTCAAAACTAACTCCTTCAAGCAATAACAAAATTACTTTGTCACTGCCTGCTTGCACAAGTATAAGTTACGTCTTCAAGCAAATATAGCGAACATAATTGGAGGAAAGACACATAAATAAATATTAAAAAAAGACATAATATATACCTCATTGCTTGAATTTTGACTTTCAGAATCACCGCCTTGACCTGCTTCAGGGGTATGATGGTTTTGATCTACTTGCCCTTCCTCATTACAACTTGAAGTTGGCTCTTCCTGTATCATTTTTCAATAGCCCTTAATATCTTCAGCACACATACACAGTCGCACACAGTCGCACACATAGAGTAACATGTAACAAAAATGTCCACATACATCCACAAAACTCTTTCAGTTTATAAAATGCAGATAAAAGAAAGGCTTGTATCCAATTTATAAACACAAATGCACACATGCAAAAAGTAAGAGTGGAGGTCTGGAACATTTACCTAAACCAAAACTAATCATACCTATTGTTTAGTATTTGTTAATCCACCAATCTCATTTCATTGATTATGGCTTACTTAGGGGCAGGTCATAAAACAAAATTGAGTCAGATTACATAATTCACAACATAACATCAAAAGCTCCGGAAGAACACACCTGATCTAAGTGCAATGAATTAAAGCTCTTTATGTTTGCTCGACATAACTCAGGTTCATGCTCTTCATCAGAAACATCATCCTCCACTACATCACCTTCAATGAACTGCATAAAATAGAATTGGCAGCAATTATAAACTATGATATGGCATCCCTTTTATTCTTTCCTTCCCTTTTTTTTTTTTGAAAAAGGCCATCATATTTATGCTGAAAAAGTTCAAAATTTCCAACATTGGAGATGTAAATCTGAAAGAAGACAATAACCAAAACATGGTGTCTGTCTAAAATAAGTTACCAACAAATAAAAATAAAAACACACAGAAATGGAAATTATAGTAAAGCATGTTTCACCATACTTTCTGAATGTCATCCTGATCTTTTCTCGTAAATCCACTGGCAGCAAGTTCCTTGTCGAGAAAACCAGTAGTTTTGGTTATTGAAGAAAAGGAAGGCCTGCCACTTTCATCCGTGTCTACCTCTGAATCATCAATATCGTCAGAGCATTCTTCAAATGACAAGTTGAACCTAGATAAGACATTGGGAAAAGATCATGCTTCAACAGCACAGCTTGCAGCAGCCAAAAAAGGGAAAAAAAATAGCCACTTATATCTATCTTTACTCTTTCTCTTTGGAATGAAACATCTGATGCACTTTACTGAGAGTTAGGTAAAAGCATGTATAAAAGCACTTTGAAACTTCAACCATCACCTTGAGGAATTGGTCAAAAAATGATTTTTTCCATTAACAAGACTTTCCCTAGTGCCAATTCATCTTCAACTACAAATAGGATAGATTATAGAACAAATAAAATAATATTGCGAAAAAAGGGTATTGAAGGGAAGTAAGAACCCTATAATCCCCTCATCGGTAAAAACACAGAAGTTATGTTGTTTTATTGTTTAAATACAAGCCAAGGCTGTTTACAATGGCCAAAGTCACTCCTTCCATCCATAGAGAAGAATCCCAAGGATATGATTTGATAGCCCACATTGACATGCATGTGTAGACAATATGTTTTAAGTTTATCAACTAACTTATTACAAATATCAGAACAGTAACAATCATACCAGGAGAGTTATTAAAGATTTCACAAACCATCATATCTTTATCATATAAAATGTAGTATTGAATTAGAAAAACGATCACCAACCTCTTGCCAAAAAACTTAAAAATGCATTCTATATCACGATCAAAGTACCTGAACAACAGAGAGTTAGAAATAAATGAGAATGTAACATCAGATTCACACAAGTAAAACGAACATGAAAACTAGAAATCGCAACAGAGAGAAGACAGTGCATCATACATCTGTGCATTACGGTGTGACACAGAAACCATTTGTGGAAAATCAATCATTGTCACCTTTTCATCATCATCAATCTACAGAAAAAAAAAGTTTCAAATACTTATTAAACAATTTTAACAGAAAACTGGAACATGAAGCTCACATGGTATTTTTTTTTTTAAGTAAAAAAAAATTGACACCTATTTAACTGCTCAATCTCAGTAGAGTTATAAGCTAACAAGAAAACAATCAAAACTGAGAAAATTGGTCATGGTACAAATACTGTGCTTCAAATGCATACCATTATGTTAAACTCATTGAAGTCACAGTGAATGAGACCATGTTCTGCCAGACGAACAATAAGGCCAAGAATTGTTTCGAAAACTGTCTCAGGATTTTGCAACTGTTTCACCTGCACACTGCATTATGCAAAAGAAACTAATAATCCAAGACATCTCAGACATACCAAACCAATTCCAATAAATGGTGTAAAGGGTACTCAAGGTCTAAAGAGAGACACAATGAGAAAAGAAAAAAGGAGAGACAAGTAGTTGTTATCAACACACACTGAAGCTAAACGTAGAGTTATCATGCAATTCAGACAGCAACAAGAGCAAGAATATTTGATATTGCAACACCAAGTGATAAAAGGTTCCAAAGAAAGACAAACGAGAAAAGGAAAAGAGAGAGGCAAATAGAAGTTAACAACACAATGAAGATAAACCTAGAGTAACCATGCAATTCTAACAGCAATGAAAGCATGAATATTTGAAACTACAAAACCAATTAACATAAAGTGTGTAACCAATAATATTGGTTTATTGATACAATGAGGCCTACTCTCATTGACTCTTTTAAACTCATTTTGTGAGTAAAAAGGATGAAAAAGATTTAGAGGTCGCAACAGATTATAATTCCATTAGCCTTTTCGTAAATATCAATTATGTTCATTCACTTCCAAAGAATTGACAGAAAAGCCACTTGACATGCATGCAACAGGATTTAATGCAAACAAATCCAAAGGATTAAGGAGAATCTCTTACAGTGGATAACCTTGGATAAGTGACATAACTACACAATGCCTATTACAGTCCACAGCATTTGGTACAGGAAAACCGTGCTCTTCCAAAGCCTGCATAAGAGAAGAAAATATAAATAGAACCCTGATTACTACAAGGAAAGACCAAAGCAAGTAAAGGGAAAATATAAAGAGAACCTTCATAAATGCAAATTCCTTGAGTGCAGCTAAGCGGGACAAATAAAGCCAGTTATAACTACTACGATGCCTCAAGTAATCACGCTTAGATTTGACAGCCCTAAAGGAAGTTCTACCGAGCCTATGCAACTTCATTGCCATCACAGTACCATCTTCACGTGCAACCTCAAAGATATCTTGAAGAAGCAAAACATGAGATAACTTTAATAACAAGTGTGAAATATTGAAAAATATAAAGTGTTAGATTTAGATAGAAAGAGTTACCAGACTCTTTGCCAACCCCAATTTGACGACCAACTGCAGTGAAAACTCCACGGTTGACCATGGTTTTAATGGCAAGGAAATCATAGCCAAGGTACGTAAGACGAAACCCATCATCTATATTCAAGAGAAAAAAAAATGCTTTACAAGTTATTGAATAGCAAAATAAATAAAGATTCTGAAAATAACAATTGATTAAAATGAACAAAATGACTAAAATTTAAACCAATTCCAACATAATTATTAGGCACAAAACTAAAATCATGCATTTTGTTTTCCAAAGCGATTATAATTATAACAATAATTTACTCCAAAATAAATTATATGGAAAACATGTTTTTTTATTTAATTTAAACTTATTAAAGCAAAAAAAAAAAAAAGTAGCAAAAATAACATTCAAATACTGCCTAAAAAAATTTTTTAAAAAAAAAAAGGTAAAACGAACATTTGGAAGAGTCATGGTGCAGTAGCTTATGCTTGAGTAAGTTCTTCAAGACCTTGTAAGTGCCTCCATGCCTATAATTCAATTTAATATATTTTTAATTTACAAAAAAGGAAAAAAAGCATAATTATAATTAAAAATAAGTATTTCTATTACTTGAGAGAAGCAATACGGTCGATGAGGTCTGACGGCACGATTTCATGCTGAAAAATAAAATAAAATTAATAATGAAATTAAAATTCAAAAAGAATAATAAGAGAAACTAAAAATTAAAAAAAAAAAAAGAGAATAATTCATTCATACATTTCTCATGCCCATTTCGACGGCGGTTAAAACCCTAAAATCCTCTTTGGAGAGATACCTCAAAACGTCGACGTCCAATTTCATTTTTTTTTCTTATAATTTACTCCGATTCTACTTCAAAGCAAGAATTCAGCTTTGAAAAAGAAGAAGAAGCGGCTGTATACAGAAAAGGGAGAGATGGAATCGACAGCCAAAAACCCCGAGCTTTTTTTCTGGCCAATAAAAACCCCAACGTTTTGTATGGGGGATTTGGGCCTCAAACATTTATTTACTTATTCTGGGGTATTGGGTCATTTGGGCTCTAAATTGCCCAAGCTTTTGTGCAGGGGCGTGCAGTTCACGTACTAGAGCGTAATGCCTGATGACTTTTTTTTTTTTTTCATTGAAGCCATCTTTTGGGTTATTCAGAATAATGAATATGATAGATACTAATAATTTTATACCATGTTTTGATTTTTTTAAAAAAATTAAATTATATGAAAATTAATCATTTTTTTATATAAACTAAGGATGATTTAAATTTTTTAAAAGTCAGAGAATTAATTTTAATCACTAGATTTAAATTTAAATATTTTATTACATTTTTAAAAATTATTTTAATAATTTAAATTATATAAATTTTGAAAAAAAATAATTTTATCAATAAATATAATTTATATGGAATTACTTTTGTCAATGGAATTATAGAGTTGCTTTCTTTTTTTTTTTTGGTAAATTATATCTTATCGTACTTTTTATATGATCACTAACTTATTAAAATTTTAATTTAATCACTAAAATTTAAGTTAATATTTTTTTCATTCAACAGTTAATCTCTAAAGATATATTAAAGTGGCATTGATAAATCAGCTGCCAAGTGTTACATAATTTTATCACATCAGTAAATTTTATTTTTTTTCAAAATGTATAATATTACATAACACATTAGAAAATATGACAATCTATTTTATATTTGATAGCTAAGATGCCATATTAGCATACTATTAAAGATTATCGACTAGATGATTAAAAAAAAACATTTATTTAAATTTTAGTAATTAAATAAAAAATTTAATAATAGATGACCATCTTAAAACACAATCATAATTAAGTGATCAATTTTATATTTTATTTATTTACTTATTTTCCAATGAGTTGTTCAATGCCTTAAATCTAGAAAAAGTGATGCTTTACAGCATACCATCTTCTCGACTTGATCATTGCTGAATAGATAGTTCTATCATATTTCAACTGCATTTGGTAGTAAATATGTTCACATTCCCCGCCTTTTTGCTTCGTCGGTTTAGAGGATGCCTTGGAACCTGTCCACTGTCCAATCTTTAAATGTTCGTCTAAATTTTGAAAATTTTTGGAAAAAATATTAAAATTTATTAAACGGTTTCACACATAATTTGTAAATTTGTTTAAATTATAGAGTAAATCTTAGATAAAAAAAATTTAAGTTCAAACTAATCGAATAAAATATATAATTAAAATATTATAATTATATAAATATATATAAATTTTTAATTTAACATTTGATTTTTTAAAATTTTTTTAATTTTTTATTATATAAGTTAGATTTAATGATTGAGTTTAAAATATATTTTTTGAACTTAGGCTGACTTGAAAAAAATTTGAGTTCCAGAATATACGACTTAAACATATATATAAATTATTAATATCAAATATGAATTTGATCCAAATTCAATCTTACCCAACCCATGAATACTTTTAGACAGTAGCCATTAGATGATGTAGGTGTATATTCATATTTGTATTCATGCCATCCACCAGTGCCTCTAATGAGACCATTCATGTTATTTATGCCTTTTGCCATCTGAAGCTGCAGATTAGTTCAAATACTTGTATGATTTCCTCTTGTTAGTGGTTTTATTACTCAATTTATGCATACATTCACATAGTAGCACTTCTCAGAATACATATAAAAGAAGCTTATGTATACAATACATATAAAAGAAGCTTATGCATACACTTTCTTCCTAGTTTCTGCTATTTTTTATTCATATATGTGCAAATTCTATGCACAAATAGTTATTATAACCTTCTCCATTTACATGAATAATGGCTATGTTCAATGAAATGCAATCCCCCGTCCATCCAATCCCTCTATTCTCATTCCCCTTTTCTCTTTTTTTGGGGGAGAGGGGGCGGCTATTAATGTATAGTTCCTTGAGATTAGTGTTAATGCTGTATTAATGCCGCATTGTTTGGCAATTTCTTTAATAGTGACAATTACCAATATCTGCCTTCTTATCTAGATGATTCAAACCAAGCCTTGTGCGACAATCTGTGTTATTAGTTATAGGTTGGACATTTTAACCTATATGTTGTCTCTGTTTCACAGATGTTGCAATCATTTGTTTCATTTCACTTTATAGTTACCTCGGCATGTATCTGATAAATAGTTATAATTTCTATTCAAGGATTACTATAAAATTTTGGAAGTTGATTATGATGCTTGCACTGGTCAGGCGTCTCTCTCTCTCTTGTTTTTCTTTTAACTCTTTGTGTTTCTTACCATTGCTTCATGGATAGCCTTTCACATTTTTGTTTAACTTAACAGTTGCTTTATTTAAATATAATCGAGTTGACTGGAGAATGTATGATGTTGTTAAAGACCTGTCATCCAGGTCAGCACAAGGGTGATAGTGCTGTTACTTCAAAGTTCGAAGAGATAAACGAAGCTTACAAAGGTAATTTTCTGGTTGGATGGAACAAAAAAATTCACATTCTCTTTGGCATATGATCCTGCTACCTTTGAGTGCAACTTAATCAGTCACCCAATCATTGGATTTATACTTCTCTGATGTAGGCTTTTCAATAGCATATCACATTTAACTATATATAGATTGTAATGCTGATACATTATGTTCTTTTACAGTATTAATCAATCCTGATAAACGCTTAAAGTATGATTTAACTGGAAAATATGAGATTGATGAGTATATTTTATGGGTAAGAATTTATGTTAACCTATATGGTATCATAATTTAGAATAGCCAAACTTTTGTTTCTTTAGGCATAATTGGTTGATGCCACATTTAATGTGTTAGAAATATGATTCAAATCCTATAAGTGATTTATTTGAGATTAACAAAATATTACTTGAGACACAAAAAAACTTGCAAAAAAATTTTAAAAAGAAAAGGATTTTTAACAGACAAGTTTGCGTGGTTATAAATAAGCAAAGTTTTTATAAGATTAAGTATGAGAAAAATATCTAAGAGAGTTGTAAAATTTTATTGGATAGACATCTCATAAAAGTACTAGAGATTTACATCTTATAAGTGTGTAAATTTGAATATTTATGAGTAGACTAGAGAAAATTAAAAAAGTTCATATAAATATGGTATATGAGTACACATAGATATGTGTTTATTTGGATTGAGAATACTCCATAAGACTAGAAAAGATTGAGAAAACTTATAAGTATTGATTGTTAAATGATGATTGATATGAATTATATGTTTGTAATTCTCTACAACTAATAAATCTTTTTTTTCTTTCATGGATGTAGGTCGGTTGGGTCAAATCACGTTAAAATACTGTCTGTTATGTGTTTGATTGATAGTTTGATTATGTTTCTACTAACATGAATGTTCAATTAGATTGGAAGCTTTTAGCCTAATAAGTAGTATCAAAATTGTCATAAGCCTAACAAGTGGTATCAAAGCTGAAGGTTGAAGACATGGGAAAAAAGCAAGCCCAAAGGAGCTCAATTCAATGGAAGAATTCAAGTTTATGTTTTGAATATCGATTTACGTGAAACGTGAAGACACACAGAGAAGATTGTTATAAGACTTTCATTACAGATAAAGTCAAGTATGTTTAGCATGAAAATTGATGATTGAAAGAATTTGAGTCAAAGTGGAGATTTGTTGGAAATAATAACTCAAAACCTATAAGTGATTTATTTGAGATTAGCAAGATATTACTTGATAAACAAAAAGACTTGCAAAAGAAAAAATTTAAGAGAAAAAGAATTCTTGATAGGTAAGTTTATGTGGTTATAAATAAGGAAAGTTTTTATAGTATTAAGTATAAGAAAAAGATGTAAAAAAGTTATAGGGTTTTATTTGATAAACACCTCATTGGATTATTAAAGATTTATGTTTTATGGGTGTGTATGTTTGAATAATTATAAATGAATTAGAGAAGACTAAAAGAGTTCACATAGATATGATGCATAGGTATGAATATTGATTATTGAGTGTTGATTAATACAAATTATATGTTTTTAATTCTCTATAATTAATAGATCTTTTTTTTCATCCTTGAACATTAATCAGTTGAACCAAACCACGTTAAAATATTGTCTTTGTGTGTTTGATTAATTCTTTGATTATACTTTTATTGACATAAATGTTCAATTACGTTGGAGGTTTTTGGCCTAACATAATGGTCTAGGAATCTTAGCAATTGTGATGCAGGAATGTCTTGCCAGGTTTAAAGGAATGATTGTTACTTGCAACGAGCTTGGTATTAGTCATACACCAATATGCTAGTTCTTTTGATTCTCTTAAACTTTTTTTCCTTTGGGGGGGGAGGAGGGGGATTTTTCACGTTATTGTAGCAACTCATTTAGTAAAAATTCAATGTAAAAGTTAATATATTAATCTATAGCATGTCAAGGTTTGTCAGTTGGTAGTAGCTATAAGTCTATGACAGTGAGAGAAATGGTTTGGGTTAAAATGAGAGAATGGTGGTAGACTGGTAAGTCCAGTAAAAAAGAGTCACTGCAGAAATGTTCTATTTACGATGATTCTGAACTTGATAACTGATCTTACAAACCTTTATATATAAAATTGTTTCAATGCTTGTCCTTCTTTTTCCTCCTCCTTTCCAAATGCCCAAGCAGACAATAAATTTTCCCAAAGGTTTTGCTCTTATGGTTGATGCCTTCTGATTCAGTGTTTTCCCTCTTCACTATTTTGAGATCGATGGCAGTAATCTTATCACTGCTAGAAATTAGACCAGCTGAGCAGCTTATAAAAAGGCTTCTTTTAAGCCATATATTAGCATTTTAGTCGATGATGCATTACTTGATCCTAAACAAAAATTGATAGGAGTTCTACTGACTTTCTATTACAACTGATTCTGGTACAACAACTTGCAGAAACAAATGAATTTGCTGACAAATTTGCTGGTACAGCTCTTATTATGCATTATAGTTCTTAAAGATTGCCTTTTTTAATTTCTTAGTGACTCAGAAATATCGGTGAATTTGGCATGCCAATGTCATATGATTGACAGGGCCATTGTATGAATCGAAAGCAATAATGATATTAATCTTTTTGTACTTATCAAAGTAGAAAATGCATCTCATCTTCTTTGTATTATTACATCTTCAATTGTTGATGCAATCTCAATCAAAATCAGGCATGATCGAGTAAAAGAGATTTTTCTAATGTGAGATGCTTTCCAATGAGGCATGGTTTAGCTTGTATGAGTTTGATAGAGTAACTAAATATATAGTTTAGACATAGCATTACTAATATTGCCATCTTATTTGTAATTAGGTCGAGCCAAATCAATACAGTAAAAAGTTTGAGTTCAAGTTTAACTCAAAATTTGTTGCTCGAAATTTGGATGGAGTTCGATCACTTTTTAATTTTCAAACTCAACCTCAACTTAAGATAAAAATTAAATTATTCAAATTCGTTCGATTAGATTTATTTATCAAATAAAAATGAAGTTGATTTTCAAACTCGACTTCAAGCTTAATTATTTATGTTTGAATTCGAACTCAAATTGAAATATAATAATTTTTAATTAAAATAATAAAAATATATAATAAAATATACAAACTCGATTAAGCTCGTAAATTGCTAAAGCTAAATATTAAAATGCTCGATAAGTTAAATTGTTTGACTTTTAATTCGACTTGATAATAATTGAATTGAATTTAAATTTTATCCAAATCAAACTTGAATAACTTATTAATATTAATATACCATTTACACCTCTAATCTTAACCATTGAAATTTATGTCAAGCGTTCTTTTCATTTGATTCTTCATTTCTCTGTTCGTTTCTTCAAATGGCCAATTCTTAATTAATTGACTGTACAGTTACCAAGTTTAATGCTAGATCATATTGTGATATGCTAGCAATGCAATAATGTTGGAATAGGATAGGATCAGCAACAAAATTTGTATTCATGAAAATAAATCTTTTTTTTTTTTTTAAAGATTTCTATCTAGCCATAACCCTCGTTAATCACTAAGCTAATTTTCAATTCTCATGTTAGGGCATAGATGTTGGGAAGTCATCTGTCGAGATATAACAAGATAAATCCGTAATGCTCGAACGTAGGTCATTAATATCGATTTTATTATTATTATTATTATTATTATTTTGAATAAGTCAATTTTACATTAATAATGCTCGAACATAGAATCACCTAGGTGGAGGCGAACGAATTTACTAATTGAGACAACTTACCATTATGTCCAAAATTGTGCCTTTTTTTTTTTTTTTTTGACCATTTGCTCTATTAGCAGTTTGGTGGCTTGGTTAACACAAAACTAGTAATTGATTTAATGTCACATAACCAAGGCAATAATTGATAGCCTGCAAGCAAAACAGACAATGTGTGGCATATAAACAGTTGGGAAGAGAATTGTGTACTTTGAAAGCAATTATTTGCCTTTTAAATAATAGAGTTTTTTTATAATTTTCAATTTACAAAATTCCTTTTTTGTCTTTTATTTTGTTTGTTTATGATTTAGAGCTTTCTTGCTTTTATCATTCAAAAAAAAAAAAAAATAGCAATTGAGCTTTGGAAGTATTTGTCACCCATTTATTTATTTACATAATTTTCAAATATGAAAATCATTGTTCTAAGAAAAAAAAAAAGCAATCAATAATAAATTAATAATGGTGGTATAATTTTCAATAATTGCTGCTCCCTACACCATTTTATAAATAAAATTGCGTGGATGCACCTCAGCCACTGACCCACAGCATCCGTATCTTATGGAACCTGTTAAAAATAAAGTAATATTTAACGGTAAAAATTATTTAAAAAATTAAAAAATAAACTTTAGCCCATTTTTATTTATCATACAAATTTATTTAAAAAATATCTCAATGTGGAATTTTTATTTATAAATTGAAGAAACCTTATTAATAATATAAAATTTTAAATGGAATTTATAAATATAATAAACATATATGTCTATATTTGTCCATTTAAAATATTCTTTAAATCCGTGTTTTTGTACACATTGTAAGTGACTATAAATATAAATTATATATAAATAAATAAATAAATTATAGATTATAAATGATTTCAGGTAGAAAAAACTTAGAACTCAATGTGTTTTTCTTTTAAAAAAGATATAGTGACATAAATTATTATATGTCTCAATAGTAGTTATATGATTTTATTTTAGTTGATGAATCAAGCAAAATCATTTTTAGAAAATTCCAAAAAAAATGTTAAGAAAAATGATGATGACGATGAATCCGCTTCTTAGTGCAATTATTATTATTATTTTTTTAATTGCAAACCATTTGAGAATCTGAATGGGCATGGAAAGTATGATATTCAAAGAGACGTCTTCATACAGATTTACACAACAAGAAAGTATTTGGAATTTGGGATCCTGACAAAAGTGTTGAGAAGGATTCAAAGATAATAAATTATCATGAAACTTAAAAAATAAATTTAAATTAAATATTCCAAATCGAATAAAGATTTTAAAAGACAATAATTCACAGGACATTATATGGAATGTTATGCTATACTTTTAGAATCTCAAGGAAAACTTCTACATGTGGAGCTATAAATATAAAATAAATTACAATACTAAATGAATTAATTATTTATTAGGAGCAAAATGAAAGCAGGCTTGTTAAAATTTGTCCAATAAATAACACACAAAGAAAAAGATGCCATTCGCCCTTTGGAGAACAAGAACAGAAGCGAAGAAAACTTTTAGTTTAGTAATAGCTTTGACACTTTAAGGTCTATTATAATAAAGGGGAGTTGTTTTTTTTTTAAAAAAAAAATTAGGTCTTTGATTCAGAATCAAATAGATCATAGGTTAAAAAAAACCTCACATTAAATTTATAGATCATCTATAAAAAATTACTGACAATAAAAATCAAATATAAGTTTTATATATAAAATATTTGATATTTATCAATGCAATCAACTCTTGTTAACAAAGGGAGTTAATGTCCTCTTTGTATTACAATTTTGCGGATGTTTTGTCTTGTCAAAAGAAAAGGAGGATAGCATATGTGTGTTAAGGAGAAGGGATTTGGTGTTGGTCTATGCATGGGACGCTTTCGTGAGCATATATTAAGTCATGGTTTGGACATTTCATATGTCGTTTGATGGTCTTCCTTTTCAAAGTAATGATGACAACGGTGTTGATCACTTATTATTTTCTTGATTTCTTCGTCAAATTGTATAATCATATATTTAGCATGTAGAGTAATACAGTGTCATACGCAATTTACTTTTATTTTCCTTACACTATAAGTGATTTCACAATTTATTAGCGCTTCTCATGGAAGCCTTCCTCAAGCAGCGCATGGGGAATTCATGCCCCCTTTACATGTTACGTATCACAAATTTGATTTGTTTTTTTTCTTTGTTTTGTCTTACCAAACAAGACGATAGCATATGTGTGTGCTAGGTACGATGAATTTGGTGTTAGTTTACGTATTGGGCGTTTTGGAGAGCATATAATAAGTGGTGGTTTTGTTGTATATATTATCAAATAAGTGTTTTTTAAAATCATATTAATGTTAAATATTATTCTATAATGATTAGTATGTATACATGTTGAAGAAAGAATAATTGAAAATGTTGAAATAGGTTTTTTGATGAAAAAAATAATGAAGATTTTGGCTGTTCTTTAATGGGAGTCGATTGCCTAATGCCAAAATGCATTCTATTAAAAATTTTGCTTTGAATGGTTGAATTATCTGATAGGACAGTCGAATGCTCAAAAAAGATTTTTCCTTTGTTTGAAATATAATTAGGAAAGTCAACTACCCATTTTGGCCATTCTACTGCCCTTCTTAAAAATTTGCAATAAATGTTCTTTGGACATGGTGTTTCATCCTAAAAGTGACAATTTTTCATAAAAGAGATATCCATTGATGAAAGGATGCTTTAAGCACTGATTGAGGCCTATATATACTTTCATTAACACTCATATTATAATAATATTTCATTCTTTTCAAAATTAAAAAAGAATTTCTCTTCTTGCACTCTTTTTTTGGTTTGTTAGTTCAACTGAGTTCAATAGGAAATTGAAGTGCAATCTTTTCTTTCTTCAAAATAAGTATTGTATCCAGGGGATAACATTTTCAAGAGTTCATTTATACTCTAATGGAGAGACTATTATCCTTAAAATAGTATCATAACGTCTAGATCCGGGGATCTATCGTTAGACATTGACTTAAGGTGTTGCCACCAATCTTTTTTATCTATGTGCGATTGGCCACCTAAGGAATCTATTCTTTTAGGGAATACCTAAGTTTAAAAGTCCCTAAAAGAGTAGGTTCGGGTCTACTAACCAGAACAGGTTCGGGAGTTCGGTTACGTATGAGGAAGGTTATAGCACCCTTACAACGCCCATCAAAAGATGATACCAGCTTAATTTTGTGTTATCCAATAAGCCTTAAAAATTTATCAAGTAATTAATTATTG